CTAGTAGCTTCTTGTTACTAGTAGTAAGGCCAGGAGCCCCTAGTAGCGTCTTGTTACTAGTAGTAAGGCCAGGAGACCCTAGTAGCTTTTTGTTACTAGTCCTCACAGGAGCACCCTATGCCTTTGCTTTATCCGGTCAGCACATGCAAAAACCAGGTCAGTCTCCATGTCGCGCCTCAGGCCGCACCCGTGGCTCCTGGCCCCCGGAAGCGGGTCCCAGCGAAATTCAATGGAGCAAAGGCCCAGGAGAGAAGCCAACCAAGAAGTTACAGTTACTCCATGTTCTTATGTTTCTTGTGTTCTTCGACCAAGAATCTTTGTATATATATATATATGTATGCTACAGTATATACATACATATATACCTTTTTTTGTTCACAATAACTACACTCCAGCAAAACCCAACATCCCTTCATGTCCGGTGCCAAATTGCCTCAGGTGGCACAGGAGCGGCGCCCGGCGTGGCCGGCGGGCGCGGGGACTCCCGCCGGGTGGGGGCCTTCCTGGCGGTTCCAGGCGACGGGGCCTTTCCCGCAAAAACCATAAAATCGAAGGGACTCAACCGGCAATCGACCGGGTATGTTGCAAAATTTCGGAGATGCAGGTGATGTGATTGGAATTGATTGGAGAGCCGGGTCGCACTCCATCGGTTCCCAAAGAGATGGATCGCTGTGACTCAAATCCGTCCTTCTAAACCCTTTCTCACTCTGTGTAGACATTGTTCCGTCCCAAGAGCACCGGTCAAAGTCAAGAGTCGAAAGGATTGAGTCTGCAAGCCTCTTAAAAGCCATGCATTGACTTCAACTGGAGGGTCACAGTGGACAACACCTTCCTCAACGGCTAACCCTGACCTCTTGGAATGTCTTGGAATGTATTATTGAAGTTGGCAAAGTGTTCTGGAAAGTCCATGCAGGGAATTCCAGGCTTCCTAATTTCCGATTTCTCAGTATCTCCCAGCCTTCTCTCAAGACGAGGTGGCTGTGGCACATCCACAGAGGGGTCTGAGCAAGTGCCGCGACATCCCGGCTGAGCAGTCACAGAAGCTGTCAGAGAGCAATGCTAGGTAGGCGAATGGGCTATGAATGATGGACATGATAGATATAACAAACGTAGGTACCATTGGTGCTAGCTCTTTCCCACCCAGACGTTTCGTCTCATCGTTTTGGGAATGCTGCAGAACGCAGCGTTTGGGTCCGGAACGAAGCCCATCTCCCGTTTCGGCACCGCCTGGCACCGCTTTTGAGGCATCCTCATCAGAGACTTTTTGCCTGCACAAAGCAGAAGATCCCAGCACGGGGAGAGTCGTGCTCAAACCATTGGTGAAGCAGTCGAGCTCGTGTGACCCAACGCGGACCTCCATCCCTCTTGGCTTCCTGAGCTCTCATCACTGGAGCCTGATGCCAGGCGCATGGCACCATAATTGGGATCATTGTTTCAACGAAGCATTCTCCAAATCTGTCAAATCATCAGAAACTGTAGTAGGAATCAGTGTACTATACACATATAAATATATATATACCAATGCATATCCTGCAAGATATGAGTGTAAGATAGAGTCAAGGTCATTTAAAACGTATCCTCGAAAAGATCCAAACTCTTGTGAGACAAGCCAGACAAGCATCAAGTATTCTAAACTCGTCATGTGGCCTGACTCACGCAGACGGATCTTCGAGGCCTGCAGCTCCTGTCTCAGGATGCAAACTCAACCGCAACCAACTCAACTCAATGGCCTCCACCCTCCTAGCGATGGTCTCCACCTAGTAGCGTCCTTGTTACTAGGCCCAAGTGAAGGATCAAGCAAGATTGGTACGTCACTATGCTGTGGCGAAAGGGTTCTCGGCAGGCGTGCGGCGTGTTCGACATTGAAGTGTCTGCCACTCGCTTGAAAATCTCTCCTTGAAGGCACATTCAGAACATGTCCAACGCACAAGACTTTGATCTCCAGCGACCAAATCGGATGGAATCGTGTCTTTGGTATCTTTTGGAAGGACGCTACTAGGGCTCCTGGCCTTACTACTAGTAACAAGAAGCTACGAACGGGGCGGCATCGATACGAACCGTTCGCGATCGGACGCGACGAGTTCCGGGGCCCCACGGCAGCACGGCATCGGGTGCTCTGAGACCCCCTGCCGCCGAGAGCCAGACTCCCGGCCGCAGGTCGATCATCACGCGGCCCGTCGTGTCGACATCGACGATGGTGGCAGGAAGCCACTCCTGCGGACGGGACTGGGGAACGAGCGAAACGGCGGAAACCGTTTCGGGAAGACGAAGAGTCTGAAGAAAGGAGCTGAGCTTTTTGACCCAAGCTAGACCTCATCTTTGGGTTTGGAAAAGGGCAGCTACAGCAGGTGTGCAAAATGTCACGTCTCTAGGATTATATGCTCACTACATCCGTCCAAAGCAGTCAAAGCAGCTTCAACGAAAAATGGATTGCAGTTCCGGCCGAGTAGAGAGTGCATCGTTTCGGCAGACATACAAACACATCATGGGATGGTGTTTGAAGGAGAAACTGTTGGTCGAGCAATCTCCACCACATATCCAAGCTGAGGCCGAGGGACACCATGCGTTACCGAGTAGTACTCCACCATCTCGTCTTTCCTCCAGACTTGCACAACTGCCCATGAGAGGCTGACGAACAAATGTATTTAGGGCATCACATGATCGCGCAGGCAGGAGATCCAAAACAGTAGCGTATCATGATTTCATTTAAAAAAAGAAAAACACCTTTGGAAAACACAAGCTGCCAGCTACCGTTCTCAAACAGCACTCAGACCCTGAAAAATCCATTGCTTGGAAAAGAATCACTGGGACAGCAATCTAACGTGCATGGCTAGTCCTGTATGAGCCAGCAGCTGGAGCTGCACATGCCTTGGCTCGGCGCTCCTGACAAGAATGTCCACAGATTGAGCATCAGTACCAAAATGGGTGGGAAAGGTGGAAGGAAAAATCATGTGGAAACTGCCATTGTTGCAGGACGTCCTTTGGTTCGAGATGAGGTTTCTGTCAAAGTCGATGAGCTGTCTATTCTCAAGGCCTTAGGCCTCATGAGGTAGCAAGAAAACCTCATCAGTCCTGTTGCTGGAGCGATCTCACCTGCACAATCGTGGCTGTTCTGTGCTCTTCTGTGAGACCAAAGTCCGCTCCACACAGGTGGTGACGCAGTGAGTCAAAACTCCGCCCGAAGAACCGGAATTGGAAGAGTAGGAATAGTCCAACCGGATACTTCTTGCCAACCGTTGTTTGTCTGTCGGTCTGTTTAGTTTTCTCTGCTCTAAGGGCTCCAAGCCCTAAGGCCTGTGCCAACCATAGTTTTCTTCACTAGGTGGTCAGAAACTGCTTTTGCGGACCAATCTGGCCTCTTCTAACATCTGTCGCACCACCTTCTGAATCTCAGGCAGCTGCAGCACCTGCGACCGTCGACGTCTTCTCGCGGAGTTCATCACTGCCGAGCATCCACCGACGGTGCGCAGCCAACGATTTGGAGAAAACCACGAGGGTGCAAAAGGCTATTAGGTTGGAGGCCATGGCTTTAGGTTGGAGGCCATCACTATTGGGTTGGAGGCCATCGCTTTTAGGTTCCTTACAGTATTGCTTGAAAACTTTAAAGTGGACGTCATTACGTCCCAACACTGCGAAGTCAAAGCAGCAACATCCAAACCCAAGTTGCGACAAATTGTGGACACGTATATTTACGGTTTGGTGTGCAAGCCTGTTGTCTTGACGAAGCAAACTTGTAAATATCAACGTAGCCCTGGATCTTGAAAGCTGTCAATTCTGAAATTCTCCGTTGATATTTAATCAAAACCGATTCGCTTCTAAAACTGGGTGCTCGCTACGCCTGACAAGAATACTCTCTCAACGTGCCAGCATTGCCCCTCCGTACCAAGAGTACTTGCGACACGCTCCCTGTTTTTTCTTACAGAGAAAATCATGGCGCAGCGCCGCTGCGTGGGACCCTAAGCCTGGGTATGGCTGGAATGCGGATCTAGAAAAACGCATGGATGTCATGAATGCGTGCTTCATCTTAGGTAGGAGAAGGCACTGAACCCCAAGCAGTGGAGAACAACTACTCAAAGAACTGAAAGGCCATGAATGACTGTAGGTCTGAAACCAAGCTATTTCAATAGCATCACGCTGCTAATGAGACTAATTAACGATAATTAAAGAACATCGTTCTGGGGGATTCTACGGATGTTCTCGAAGAGTTCACACAAATGAAGAGTTCACGGTGCAAAAGTTCACCCGCTGAAAGAATAAGAATAAGTTCTTTCTTGCCGGTCCTGACCCTCGCTACTTAATTAAGTAGGCGCCCACTTAATTCAGCAACTAGGTAAGCTACTAGGCTAAGTCAGCTTCTAGGTAGGACGCAGGATAGCTCCCCGCCTGAGGGCGGGGCGGAGCTTCCTTGAAGAAGCATTCGCACTAATGATTTGGTTTCTAGATTTTTTTGGAAACTTAACAGCATTCAAAGCAGCTTTTGGTTTGAAGCTGTCAATGATCTTGGCCAGAGTTTGAAAGCGGTTATTGTTCTGCCAGAGCAAACCTGCAGCAATCCCGAGTTCCAACAACGTGTGAACGAAACAGCAAGAAAAGAAAAGCCAAGAACCTCATGATCTTTTCTGCAATACATTGATGGCCTGGAGCACGGACAATCACAGAGCACAGTAGCTTCTGTGAACCCGAATTCAGCAAAGCATAGAGGATATACCTGGGCCCAGTCGGTCAAAAGCATGCGGATGGTTACTCCAGCAATTGGCCAGGCAGGTTCTTGGCATAGCTAGGTGGCTCATGGATCTTGTCGTTGACAAACTCGAAGCGATAAGCGTCAACACCGTCTAACTTTTGCACCTCGGTTGCAGCTTCAATACTCTACTCTGAAAGGACCGTGTTATCTTCACTCCCACGGTAGTCAATGTCCTGACAATAGACCCACAAATTCAATACCTCCAAGCAGCCTTTCGAGGTGTTTAGCTTTCATATGTTGTACATGCTGTTACAAAAGTGTCCAATTTTCTTGCTCAAATGTGCGTTTCATTAGATCTCCTCAGCTCTCGCTTGCGTTGCCTAGCGGCGCCCATAAAGTCGGAGCCACCGAAAGGCCTCTTATCTGAAAGCCTCAGTCGTGAAAAACAAAATTGTTCACCCTCAAAAATAAGTACCTTCAATTCTGTTCAAACTGCGTTTCTTGGGGTTTAGCTTCCGATCAACAAGCAATTCTTGAACCTTTGGCTTGGTTGAATTCTTGGACTGCTCAACCCCAAACACACCATCCTATGTCAAGCAGCTTTTCGCCAATGTCCTTGAGATCAAGGCCATCCATGCCCAAAGCCTGGCAGCTCTCCCACCCAACCAGGATATTAAAAAAACATTTCTAGTTCCTTGCGCCAAGATTCTCACCACAACTGACTTTGTTTCATGAACAAACCGGCTATCAATGCATGCAACCTGCACATATAAAACCAGGCCTTCTCTAGGGTGTCCGCTTCCACCACCTTGGCCTGCGCAATCATGGTGTTCAGCTCACCAGACCTGGATTTGGAGCTACCACTCCGGCACCGCTCGTCCGAAGCTTTTCCGTTGAAGCTGTTCTTGGACGAAGGAGTCGGATGTTGAAGAAATGTCAAGCACGCACCTGTCGCCCTGCCAGATGGTCTTCAAAGGCTGTTCTTCAATGACCTGCGGGGAAGTCGAATGCCATTCTGAGGATTCAGGCGCGTGGCCTTGTCTCTTGTGGTATCGTCTGGTGGCTATCGCCTCCAATGAAAAATAGATGAATTCGGCGTTCTGCTACATTACGGCGTGCTTGCAGCACCCAGCACAAGCACCGGCACCTTGAAATTGTCTGGCATGGACACCTGAGGGAGGTCGTGGTCCAAAGACTTCAACGGGTGGGAGTCGTGGGATTGGGAGCCTCTGGCCAAACCTGAAGGCGCCAAAACAAAACCCCCGAGTGGGTGCTCACAGCCAGAACTGAATTGACCCGGGTCAGCGTTTGTCTATAATTGTCGTGCCAGCACCCAAGCACAACAATCTCAGGTCAAGGGAATTGCCCAATTACTCGCGAACAGCTATGAGCGTCTGCGCGAAGCCTCAGCTGGGAGGTTTCAAAAGAACACTAGCGGAAAAGCCGAGAAAAAACTCAAAAGGATATCAATCCCCCAATGTCAAAATCTCAAACCTCCAAATCATAAAGAATCCAAAATCGTATCTTGATTCTGCAGCTTGATTTGGTCATCTCAAGCTCCATCAATCTCTCCCTTTCAGCCAACTTCCAGCCTGGAAGGCGTCTGCCACAGTGTACTCCTTGAAGCCTCCAGAGCCAAAGGTCTTCAGCTCCAGTCCCGCATGCGCTGGCGCAGGCCACTGGGTGGCCAGGCCGCCCAACTGGGTTGAAAGCATGGAATTGTCTTCCCACTCTGGGGATTCGCAGCTACCAGGTGCCCTCACACTGGAAAAGCTCAATGTGAAAAACATGGGTGGTGAGGTGTCTCAGGTGTCTCGGCTTGAGGAACTTTGGGAAGGCTTGTCGGCTCGCGTTCTGTCTCATTCTACCAACCAAACTGTATGAAATAGCTATATACTCAAAATATTTCTTCTGAGCTCTTCTGATATCTCACACAAAAATGAATCCTGCACCAACTCTCCGAACTCCCCATGCATGACAAGCAACCAGCAGGCCACGGCGAAGTGTGGGCGCTACAAAGCTCAAGCCTCAACTTGCTCGCTAAAATCAAAACTGAAAGGAAAAAATGCAAGTCTTGGATGCATGAGACAAACTTCATACACCCAAAAGCTATTGGTGTCATACGTTCAAGTGAAATCTTTGGGACCAAATGCTACTATGGGACTCCCAGATATCGGGGGGGTCCAAGCCACAAAGATTTGGATCTGCATAAGCGGCCCATACCCTGTCAAAGGAGGTTGAAATCTCTCTTCTGGACAAGGTGCTGGACAAAAGGATATCTCCAAGGGGGGCGAGGATTCACAGTCAGATTCCACGTTCATCAAACAGCACCTTCAGTCCTTGACATGAAGATTTCGTCGAGTGAACATCTCTAACTTGGAGAGTTCTCCAACAAAAATGCACGGCCAAGGAGCCAAGGGCATCGCCATTAGGAGCAAGGACGCTACTAGGGGCTCCTGGCCTTACTACTAGGAGCAAGAAGCTACTAGGAGCTTACTACTAGGGGCCATCGCTTCAAATGAAAGAGTTCACCCGTTTGTTCCAGGCTATGTCTGAAAGCTCGAGGCAGAGCTTCACCCATGGTCGTGCAGTGCAAGACCGCTCGACCGACGCAAGCGCCCACATCCACAAGGTCGTTCTTTGCTGCCAAGATGCTTTGGAACACAGCTGCCAACAAGCCAGCACAAAGCAAACGGTGCTCCTGTCAGCGATAATGGGATTGGAGAGCAGGTGACAATGGTGACAGTAGAATGTTGTAGAGCATTTCAGCAATCAAGCAAGTGTAATAAATAAGCCGTCCCACCAAACGTCCACCTGAGGCTTTATCTGAGGCTTAGGTTCAAGTTCCTGAGCCAGCTGTGAAAAACCTGTCCTGCCGCCACCGCCGCCCTATAGAGGCCATGGCAACTTGTCTCATTATCAGATCCTGTTGTTTTCTCCAAGCATGGCACTGAACATGGTCTTGAAGGCTATCCTGCGTCACTGGTTGAAGGTTGCATGCAATTACCATGCTGGCACCCGAAGTGGCCAATGGTCAAATTAGTGCTAGTATTGTTGCCTGTCATGTCTTTTTTAGAAGCTTGTGTTGCGGCAGCCACCTTTCCGGAAACACCCCACCACACTCACAAACAACTGGCCAGCTACACGAATCATCTCCAAAATGTCCCAAACGGAAAAAAGATGAATCATCAAAACAGCTGCACTGCGAAATGAATCTTCATCTAGTGACCACTTAGCCAGCCATCCAGAAGTCCTCCCTGTCTGCCTCATCAGCCGAGGGCCTCTTCTTGGGATCTCGGTCTAAGAGCTGCCGGCAAAGCCTTGGCCGGCACAGGCTTGATGGATTGGCGGCAGAGATTCTGGTCGGACTTGAGTCTCACCACTTTGTGCATCTCACCACATCTGGGGATCAATCATTCTTTGTAAGACTCCCAGGATTACTGTGCAGTTGAACTCCTTCATCCGGCTGGATTTGGATTGGGTTCAGGTACTTGTTGCGTCTTGTAGACCTGCCATTCACACCTTCCACTGCCCTTCTCCGACAGCCGCGCCCGCCATCTGCCGGGCGGCCGCCGCAAGAAGTCGGAATACGTCTCTGGCACCTGAGGCCGAGACCGGTCTCCGGAGGTCAGCCGAGTCGTGCGTCCTTCATGGAAGTCCATATCTGAGGGCATAGCTGTTGGCAAGGGGCCATAGCAGATCTTCTGCACAAGGCCCGAAATGCTGTGTGCATCAAATGGAACTTGCCTTAGCCAGGCTCCCCATGCCACTTCGATGGCTGGGGCATTCGGTCTTTGTGCTCCAGAATTCTTCCATGCGACTGTCAGGTGTGTAGACTCTGAGGGGCTGGCAGGGCACACATCTCATAAAGAATACAACCTGGGCCGAGGGAATCCGAAGGATCGCTCGAAGTCTTCGAAGGACCGCGCGACACCCGGCTAAGTGTCAAGCCCATAGACCACATATCTGATGGCCAAGCGTATGGCTTCTCCTAGCAGCACATGTACCGGCTCCAGTCCATACCAATGTCCATACGGCAGGTCATGACTTTTTCATACTTGTTCAATGCTCGGCGCTTAGGGTCGGTGAGTCTTCTCTCTTGTCTTCGGGCCCGGAAAAAGCATCATCCCGAGATGCCAAAGGCCTGACAGACCTCAGGACTGAGGTAGTATGGAGTTCCTTAGACGAATCCACCGTCCAGCAATGGGCGGTCGTCCGTGTGCTCCATATTGACTGGGATTCTGGGCTGTTCTTACTGTATTGATCAGGTGTCCGAATTCAAGAGGTGGTTCCAACAAGCGAATGACCTGCACATCTCCTTTGAACCTCCAACCTACTAGCGATGGCCTCCAACCTAAGAGCGCCGAAAAAGAATGTCTCATTCCCAAGGGCACTGAGGATGCGGCCGATCCTTGTTTTTGCAAAAGCTATTGTACAAGCCTCGGTGTTGATGCTGTCGATCAAAGACCCAAAGAAAGGCCCAAACGAAAGAAAAACCTTGGCCGTCTGACACCGCTAACGGCCAGAATAAGGCTTTGGAAGACGTGAGGAGTGTTCGTTCTACTATATATTTTGGGGCACCTCCAGTGCGGAAGAAACTCGTAGAATAATATGTCCGTCATACCAACCCAGCCCCCGAGGCTTTGGGAGATCCCGTTGACCCCAAAAGGGGCGATGAGCACCATCTCTGTGGGCGGCCGGACCATGGTTTTCGCGATCCCAAAGTCTCCCATCTTCAAAGACCTTGCGAGGCAACAGGATCCTTTCATTGGGCTCTCTATGAGCTCGTGAGCCAAAGAAACTACGCAAACATGTTCCGACAAAATGATGCGATGTTGATATGGAATATGGATGCAGGACACAACAAGTGCTTATTCATAATATCTGTATATATATATATATAGTTATATAGTTATATATATATATTGCCTGTATAAGTTGATTACTGTTGATTGATAATCTGCACCAAAGTGTTTGGATGTTGGAGAGAAGTACTGCATCATAGCTGGTACTGCATCACCACGACCCAGAAGTTGCCCCTCAGTGAAGGGCCCAGTCTTTGTGAGGAAGAAGTTGGCTGGCTTGAGATCCTCAAGAGTTAGGCGAGCGTCACTGGGTGCGTTCATTCCCCAAAAGTCTCACCAAGGTCCCAGATGTGTGGTGCACAAGTTCCCACGCAGAGTCTCTCTACCCTGCACATCTTACCTTCAACAGGGATTCATCAAACAGTTGACCAAAAATAACCACACATCAACGGAAGCAAAGTGAAGCAAGACAGCACAAGACAGCGGCCGGCCCGGTCCCTGTGAAGGATGTGCTTATCATGGACGTACTTCAGCGAGAGCATGGCCTGGAGAGACTCATCTCAACTGCCCCGGCATAGTAACAAGGTTCGCTACGAACGGGGCTCCTAGCAAGGACGCTACTAGGAGCAAGGACGCTACAAACGGGGCTCCTGGCCGTACCACTAGTATCTACTAGTAACTAGTAACAAGAAGCTACTAATTACTAATTGGTGTGTTTTCCATCTCAACTGCTTCGGCATGGAGACTCTGATGGAAGAAAGCATGCAAGCGTGCATAGTTCGAGCGTGCAGAAAGCGTGCATCGCTCGAAACCGGTATCCTGTCCGGCCTGAGTGAACCACCGGAGGATCTGCTCTTCCGGGATCCTGCAAAGAGGGCCCTTTCTTCGTTCGCCGAGAAAGCCAACTGGAGCCCAGTTAGGCTGATACAACCAGTCCTACATCTTAAGGTTCGGATTCATGATATGCAGCAAATACATGAAAACTGTTCTCTTTACCCACTTAGAGCATCTGGATCGGCAGAAACAGGTGCAGAATCACTCTCGAAGCGGTGAAGCCCTCAGAACTTGTTGCCCAAAGTTTGAAGCCAACCGCACGTGTGCAGAGAGAGAGAGAGAGAGAAAGACTGCGTCCAAGCCCGCTGCTTTTAAAGGAACATGTTAAAAGAATACAAAAAGAAGTCGTTTCCTCTCACAAAATCATGCGACGTGGGCCCCGGCGTATCACCGCGACGGAGCGATGGATCCAGGCGGATGGCCCTTGGCTCCTCTGTTGGTTGCGCCGTGCTCGGCGGATCTGCTTGGCCAGCTCGCCGCCTTGGAAGGTTGGTGTTCCTTTCCAAGTGGAAAATGGGGGGAGGACTGAGAGAACCGATCGAAGCAGAGTGGTTCACCAAAGTCAAGACGAGACAGGATAGTCTCCAATACCGAGACAAGGGGTCACGACGAGAAGAACGGAACACCACATGGAGGAAAGCCACCACATTGAGGTGTCCCTGCCTTCACAAAAGTCCATGATCAGGCAAAGAAGGCCAGCCTCAGTGGCACGTTACGCTCCTCCCCCTAAAGGATCTGTCCATGGACGGTGACAGTGTCTGCCATGTCTGCCATGTCTGCCTGCGCGCCTCGCAAAAGCTATCGCGATAGCGGACAACGAAGGGGTGCTGCAAAGACGCAAGCAATCTACCCTCCTGGCTGATACCATGGTGGCCAGCATGTTGTTATTCCAGTGTATAAAAGCCCTTTCTTTGCGCGTTGGTCATCATTCATCAAGACTTGGCACTTGAAGCAAACATTTGAACCAAGAAGTGATGATGGATTTATGTACAGCGAGAAGATGGGCCATCTTGCAAGGAAACAAGGCTGTTCAAAATAGGAGACTGATTCTCACAAGAGGTACTGCACTCATGAACCAAATCTGCCTCCAACAAAATCCCAACCCTCCCACACAAGTACTGCATGGAATTCTCAGCCGTCCTTGAGAGCTGCCTCAGCCTGACATCGGCGCAAGCTGGACAAATGAAGGCTTGGCATTACGCAGGATTCATGTCATTCTTTCGTTGCATCACAAACGATCACAGTCGAACTGCAAGTGTTCCCGCTTGGATTGCTCACCTTATCATCATAGATGAACAGAATTCATAGATCAAACTAAAAGAATATGAACATGTCAAGGAGGTCCCAGGCCGATTGTGCAAGCTAGGAACTACAGAGGTGCTTTCGCCAGATGTGTACCCTTGAACAGGTTATCATGATCCGGAGCTGCCTAGATTTCTGTTTTCCTGCAACGGCCTGATCTGTTGTGAGTGGGTCAAGCATAATGTGGCCTCCTTCTTGTTTGCTTCGCTAATGTCCATGACCTGCGGAGCAGAACAAAGGGATGCAATACTCGATACTCAAGCTGAAGAAAGAGCCAAGTGACCAAACTCTATTCGACAGGAATAGGAAGAAACTCAAACTAACCACTGTTTAAGAAATGTATAAACAAACTTGATCTTGAAGTATCTTGCAATATCTTTTGTGCCTTCCTCATCGTACAGCAACCCCTGTTTACTCATTCCTCTCACTGCGGACTCGCTCCCGGCCTTGCAGACGGCCTGGGTGCCATCGCCTGATTCGACCAACAAAGCCTTGGCAAAGGAGCCTTCGCCTGGAGCGTTCTTCAGCTGTGGAGGCCGGCGGACGGGTTGTTCGTCAGAACACGCTGAGTTCTCTTCTTGGTGGACTCTCAGAATCTACTTCCTATCATTCCAGTATGCAGTTTTCATTTTGCTATACAAGATGCTTATGTCCATCAGATCGAGTGAAGGACTCAGTGGGAAAGCTTCCTCGTTTTCGGCCACAGTCCGCAAATGTCCATCACACAAGTCAGAATGTCATTGATTCTCAGACATGCTTGACCCATGCAGAGCAGAAACATCCCCACCTATTTGTCTGACTTCCCTCCATCCTCGTGCGGCCAGCACGTGCGATATGTCCTGTGCAGCGTTCTCGTCCCGTTTGAGCTGCGGGTCTGACCCGAAGACCCCGAAACGGGATGCCCGGCACCCTGGCCCTGAGCCGATGAAACGAAGCGCTCGTTTCACCGAATCTGTCTACCTGTTTTGGTGTGCCCCTTGAGGTGGACTAGAACGAATGGCAACATAGAGAAAGAGATGATTGCAAATGAAACTAGGGGGACTCTTCCGCAGAAACAGCCAAGCAAAAACCCACGGCTACCAATTCCATGGGTTTGGGTGTTGGGACCAACACCCAACTCGTTGGAGCCATTCAAACAGTCTCTGAATGTCTCTGAACACCTAAGTCTTGGCACGCACATGACGCAGTCCTCTCGGGCATACACCATCGAAGTCAACACGAGCCACTAAAGTGGCTCGGTCCCCTACCCTAAGATGTCTGAGCCCAATATTAACGCAACATCCAAACGAGGCGTGCACTGCAAAGCTTGCAAACTCCGACACTTTTGTCTATACTGCTCCAAGTTTGAAACCTTGAGAGTCAATCTAGACCATCTAATATGACCATGTCTCCGCTTTTCACCACGCAATCTGTTGGCTGATCTTTTCCAGCTTTCAAATTGCCGAAGTGGGGACCACGCGACACGTCGCAGAAAGACGCCCGCTCGCCGTGCCCTTCGTGCTGCCGTTGGAGCCGGACACTCCGCGACCACCTGCCCAGTCGACTTGGTGCGGTGGACCGAACCATTGGCCGAACTTTCAGCGATTTCAGGAGACGATTTCTTCCCATGAAGCTCGGATTTCTTCCAGGATCTTTCATGTACTTTACTGACCCTACTAGGAGCAAGGACGCTACTAGGGGCGACTCCTGTCCAAAATCACTGGCCTCTCTAGAAGTTGATGTGCTCCAGGCTTCACAGCTCGGAGCGCTCCGTGCCATGCTGTGCTCGCAGCGCCAGCTGCTGGAGAACGGCCTAGCCAATATATTGGAATCCTGAACCAGCCCTGTGTGTCCTTGACAAATGTTTCATTCAAGGCATTTTTAAGGATAAAGCTCAAATCACCAGGGCATAGATTGAGCATCAGTGCTCAGAAAGGCCGCAAGATTGACCCTTCTCAGCTTGGTGTATAGACTTCTTGCATGTCAGATCGCGAGTAAAACAAGGAAACCTCCATGATAAAGATATAATCAATAACGGCTCCAGACCCTACAGGATGAGAAAGAAACAGAAATTGAGACTACCTAGCAACACCTGCCCTAGCTTGCAGGGCCCCCAGCTTGCCTCCCCCAGGCGTGTCAGTTCCGGCACGCTCCAGCGCTGCAATGAAGACAACACCTGCGGATTGACTGTTTTTGAATTCAAAGTCTGGCAGGATGACAAGGATTGGAAGGGTTGGTGCAAGCGTCATTTTCGAACTCTTGGCCTTTGGTGTTCCTGGGCCGTTTTAAATCAAACGCTCAATGTTCAAAATTTCCAACAAGCATCAACATCCCCTGCGCATGTCCAGTGTACAATTTGTACCACTGCGCTTTCTTGCACAAGTTGTAAGACGCCTGGTCAACCTCACTCGCCGTCTTCTTGATCGAGTTCTCAGTCCTTTTTCCTGTGTCTGAAGACGCCAATCGGAATCCACGGCCGGAATACAAATCAAAGGACACGCAGTCAGGGATACAGTAGAATAATCTTCAGCCCTTGAACAGAGGAAAAAATGAATAGAAATGTGAGCTGGAAGGCTGGATTCCATGTGGTTGAGTTGGACATGACCAACAGTCACCCTAGCCTGTTGCTGGCGCAGGTATCACTTTTGCAGAGTCTTTGCCCTTCGCGGTCGGGGCCTTGGAGAATGCGAGGAGGAAGAGCAAAGGATGAAAAAAAAACACCAGCCCTCTAAACAACTTGGCAAAATGACTGTAAATGACTGTCATATTTCAAGTACGGTACTCGCCTTCTCCGGACTGGCTGAAGGTGTCCTGTGGGCAAAGCATGCGCCAAACATACCGTGCTCGGATCGGTTCCAAACGGCACCAGGTCGGCCATGGACGTTTCGATACTCTAAAAAAAGGAAAGGACGGAAAGGTAAGGTACTCCACTGCACGTGCTACGGAGTTCAACGATGGTGCTGCAAAAAGCCGTGCCTCTGCACTTTAGGCTTCCTGGGCGTCTTGGATTTTGCCTTGGATCTTTGAATTTAATTTGATCTTAATTCTAATAGTTTCTTTGTTACTACTAGTAAGGCACCTGTTACTACTAGCGTGGCACTTGTTATTAGTAGAAACAATTCTTTGGATCATGTGGCCACCCCACTTTCCTAAACGGCCTACTCCTCGATAGACCTTCAGCCAAACCTCTCAGATTGTGCTTGGAGGAGAATCGTCTAACGGCTAGCGTGCTTGATGCTTCTACCAACTTCTACCCTTGGAAGGCACGTCATTCTTCTTCCTTCGCCATCGGATTGCTCCTTTTGTGTTAGGACCAAGGCACTCCAGTGCCACTGGCAGAAGACTTGCACTCGTCTTTGCAAAGCTCAGTGTGATTCACTTGCCTGGTCAGTCAGTACTGCATTTCTATGTATACATATACATTATATATACATATATGGACAACCCCCCTGCCCATACGAAATGCAGATTTTGACCTTATCAGAGGTCCTCAGGAGCTGACGACTCTGACGAGTACCAATGCTTGTTTACAAAATTGTTTTAAAAACCTACTGTGTTTGAAGTTTTTGATATATATTTTTTTAAACATATTAAAAAACCTCCATGTTTTGCATTGTTGAGCAAAAAACCAAAAAACAAAGTCTGTCAAGAAGTTTGGTTTCATGTTTTTTGGCTTTTGTGTTTTGGGTTTTGTTTGGTTTCTGGTTCGTTTCTTTTGCATATTTGCTCTTAGTCTTAAATTTGTAGAAATCTAGTCGTATTCGTTATTTGTTATGTTAAACAAATCTAGTCGTATTCATTATTTGTTATAGTTAAACAAATGTAAATGAAGGAAACTGAAAAGAAATACAAGTCAAATAACATAATAATTAACAAAAAACAAAATTGAAGCCAAACTCATCGAACAATATGTGTCTTTGGGTGTTTGTCCTTTTTGGTTGTTGTTTTTCTGAAACAGCGCACGCTCGGCTGTTTTTAGCTTGAAACGAAGAGGGGCTGCAGATGCAACCCTTTGGTTTTCAGTCTCAATCTTTACAACTACATCAGGTAACACACGCAAGGAGATGTATAGGACCTAAATCCCAACACCCCTCCACAGAGCAAAGTCTTGGACTCTGCACTGTCCGCCTTGGGTTCTTCATCTACCTAGGACAGCACTGCTTGCAAGGTTGGTAACCTGCACTCAAAGCAGCACTACGTCGAATCTCTCTGACCCTTCTATTTACATTAGCATTGGCTATACCACAGTTCAATCTGTGATACTTTACACCTTGGCCAATGACAAGCACGAATTCATCTACAGGCTCGCGTCTTTCACGTAGGCCTTGTGATCCATCTTGGATCAGCGCTGCCGGCTCACTGTGTTCATTTCCGGAGGCCTTTACCTCCATTCCGAGCGAACGCATCGCAGGTTCTTGCGCCACTGTGGGACCAGGGATTTCTCTTCCTGTCCCATTGTCATCACTTTCATCTTTCTCACCTTCGCTCTCACATCTTTCATCGATCACTTCTTTCAAACGGTTTCTGTTCGCGAACGATTCGTAGGCTCTCATGCAAAATTCAATCAGCCCAAACAAGGCAAACAGATGCATCAGCAGAAAATAAAGCCAAAATGGCCAACTGCCGTCTTCATCTG